TTGGTTTAACTACTGCTGTGTTACATTCTTCACCAAAAGTCCATTAGTACTAGTAAATCCTTAAAGCGAGTAAGGCACAAAATGTTGATTTTGAGGGAGGAAATTTCATTCTGGGAGACAGAGCAGGGTGTTAATGCACTTTCCCTGCACATTCCTGACTCTACATATTACCTATTGAATGTCTTTTGATTTTGTTTTCATTTGGTTGGTTGGATTTTTAGTTCAGCTCAGCCTACACTGTCTTTAGCATGTGCCATAGAATCTTCTCTGGCTAGTGAAAAATATTGTACCTGTCAATAGGGAATCTGTCATGAATAGTTTGGCTCTAGCCTTTTAAAAGTTGGAATTTACTGTCTTGCTCAGTGAATATATTCAGTATTGAATTGTTGATTTAATTTATTATTACAGTTTTCTAGCTGTGCTAAATAGCATTTCCTGGTCATGTATTCCCACTTCTTCTTGAAAAATAACTTTAAATGCAAAAGGATTTTTTTTTTTTGTTAACAATAAATAGAGAGGGTATGATATTACCCTCCACAGAAAGTGCAGCAATCTTAAAAGTTGTTGGTTTGGTATAAAATAAACTTCTAGTGGCATTACGATGAGAAAACGAAGTCCTGAGTACTCTGTGAGCATACAGTACTTAGTGTGAAAAACAACTATTCTGCATTGTAAACTGTTTTCCTTTTTAGAATGTGGCCTCCTTTTGCTCTGATGCAGAAAGTAAACTAATGAATCTGCTACGAAGAAATCTCTTGCTTACACCCAATTTAACTAAAAGATGTGGCTTGGAATGCCCCTCTCCTTCCTGCAACTCAGCTCTTTATGCAGAGGATAAGAGTTTGGTAAGATTCTGGTAACTAATACTGTGTTTATATGGACAGTACATACAGTAAGGATATAAGCAAGTTTTACACTGATAGCTGTGGAAAATGGTCTCATTTCCAGTCTGCTCCATACATTCTCTTCAGGTAAGTGCAAGATCATTACAAGCTTTAGCTGTGTGTGGGTTTAAGATTATGCCCCAGAAGGAATTGTGAGATTATTCTTCTTCCAAATGGTACGTGAAAACCTCCCCTTGTGGCCTGTGTTTTCACAGAATACTTTAAATATTCTGAATTTTATATGACTAAAATGAATCATCCTTTCCCTGTAGATGGTTTATCACTTCTTGGTCCCATTGTGAAGATTCTGACAGGGAAAAATCTTGATCTGTAGATTTTTCTTTCATGGCGTTCTGCAGTTCCTATCCTTGTTTAGAGAATTTACCTCCTGGTCATCTTTTCCTAGATATTGGTCACTATTTCCAGGATTTAAAAGGAGAGAGATATCACCTAGTAAATATTTGCATTTTATATCAGTCTTGACGAAGACTGAGTTAAATAATACTCAAGTTTCCCATGAAGGCTGTTGGTGACAAGTTGTTCATGATGTACTGAGGCAGTCAGAACAAAAACCTTTCTTACCACTAGTTGCAAGGGAGGTGGAAACACCCCGGTGTGGTATCAATTCCTAAGGACTAAATTTAAGCTTATGAGGCATTCTTCTCCGATTCAGAGGGAGTGCTATAATACTTGATTCTGAAGGTTTAGTTTATATCAGTTTATTTAATATATCAACAGAATTAAAACAAATGAGATGTTAAAGGTATTATCAAGTTAAGCATGTGTTTGAATGATTTGTTGTGCAGCGTCTATCGTGTATTGTTATCTTCAAGTTTTTTGGTCTATATTCTGTCCCTTTCTTCAAATTTTTTTCCTCATTTTTCCCTACTTGTTGAGGATATATCCAAGAAGACTTAACTCCTTTTTTTGTGAGTGCTTTGATTTCCTACCACGTGGTAGAGAAAAATTCCCATACATTTAGCTTAGACCTCAGAAACAGAATGTAAGTAAGCAAGTTGTCTTGATGTACATGTAAACAGTGACCTATCAAGCATCAGTACTTGAAAGAATAATATTAGGCACCATCAGAAGGTATCAAAATAAAGTTAAGTTTGACATGAATGGTGACGTAGGGGGAAAAACCTGGTACAAAAATGCTGTTTTGTGGAAGTAATTGAGGAAGCTAATGAAATAGGGCATTCTAATCAACATTAAGCGTATTTCTTTTTAACTAGATCTCTTCTAAAACTGAAATAAAGCATCCAAGCCCTCTGTCAACGAGCACACCAAATATGAGATTTGTCACACGAGGATCAGCAAAAACACCTTCACCTGCTACAGTCAATGACGACCATCCCAAAAACAGCAAAAAGAGAAAAGCCATGGACTTCCTCAGTTGCATACCTGCCCCTCCACCACTGACACCAATGTATTCAGTAATTTCTCCATCTTTAAAAAAAGCATTTCAGCCACCACGAAGTTTGGGTTTACAGCGTAGCAATTCATCGAAAGAAACAAATCAGAATATTGGTCATGTCACCCCCTGTAGAAAGTTGAGAGAAACTGTCCATCTTTCTGAGAATGACCTGGTTGCTGATGAAGAACTTGCATTGATTAATACACAAGCACTCATGAATAATTTACCAGAAGAAAAGAAGATTGAGTATGCAAATGAAAAGAGCAATACAATAGCTACTAATTTATCTGACAAACTTTCACCCAAAAATAGTTCCAGGTCTACTAGGCAAGCAAATAACAAAGCAGTTCTGAAGTAGCTGAGGCTCTTCAGAAGAACACAGAGGAACCTGATGACTTGTTACGAGCCCACGGAATGCTACAAAGACAAAACCCCTGAAAATGCTACTAAATGCACATGTACAGTATTGTATATATTTCAAATTCAGTTTATTTTTACACTTTGTACATTAAATCCTGATTGTATTTAATAAAACTGTATTACAAAAACAAGACTCATGAAATGACATTTCATCTGCAAAATAATTTGGAGTTGAGTAATTATACATTTCTGACATAAACATGTATTGTACAATAACATCAGTGTGGCTGAAAGTTTCACGACATTTTTGAAACCATTGCTTTGATTCTGATGTATTCTTAAATTACAGCAGGATCTTTGTTTCAGTCTAAAGCAATCAGTTTTGTTACGTTAGTTCTTCGGCTGTCAGAAGTGGCACAAGGCAAAACAATTCTCTTAGGTTATTGTTACCACACATTACACTTTCATTCTGAAATACTGCTCTGCAATTGTGGCACAGTTCTTGTACTTTTTGCTTCAGAAGTTCCATATAGTGCTAAAATAGGTTTAGAGAACAGCTATGGTTATTTGATTCATAGCAAAATACCATACAAAAGTTATTAATGATAGATCCTTGGTCAGCATTTCTGAGCTACTCCTTAAAGAAGCACTTGAGGCCACAGTAATCAGATATTTGATTTTATCACATCTGCTGGGAATGAGTCACTACTTGAATTCATTACTTTGTTCTCATTAATTTAAACTTCTCAAAACTGGAGTTTCTCCACTGGAGAGGGAAACAGCCCTGCTAGACTGGCTGCCAGCTCCATGTTTTAGTTTGATGACAGGCTGCCCTTTGCCTGCTGCTTCCCACCACACACAAGTCAAAGGAGGGAGGATGTTTCAGATCCAGGACCACCAGCTCCCACACGACTACCTTTCAGGGGTCCTGTGCCACTCACTTGGCTCAAGTGCACAGCTGGGAGTGGCTCCTGCTGCCAAGCTTGGCACTTGTAGCAGGTCTGGAGAACTGCCACAAGCTTTCTGATGGTTCTGTAAACCTTTGTGCAACATTGCAGAGACAGGTTCCCTAGACCCACAATTATTTACAGTGATGATATTACTTCTTTAAATGCAGCTTGAGTAGAGAATGCAGTTCTTGTCATACATCTACTCTGTCCTGAAGAGAGTTTGGCTTTTGCCCAGAAACAGCAGATTTCTTTACACCTCTTACTTGTCTGCTGAATTGCTAGAAGAATAGCAGCTCTACCTGCATTTCTTAACCACCAATGTGAGCTGTCTTCATTTCCTACTGCAAAATAACTCACTGCTGCCCTGTTCTATAAGCACTGCCTAATAATCCACACACACTTAAAAAGATAATTCCCATCACAAATGCTGTGTTTCAAAAATGTTTTGTGAGGCTTCTTGATGAGGGCATAATCAGAATTTAACTATGGGTAAAATCCCTGCAGAATAACTTCTCAGCCATCAGTCAGAGGCTTCTCAGCGCTCAGCAGAACATATTGATTTCTTTCCTTACAAGAACTTTTTTCCCCTTTCCTAAGTAATTATTTTGTACTTCTGAGTTTGGGTATTTGGTAGACTTGTACTTCAACTGCTTGGATCTGCTCCTGTAGCTCTGTGCCTATGTAGAAGCTAACAAGCACTAGCCTAATACTAATGTTTCCTTTTAGAAGTATTTGTATATGGACTCATCTCAGGACCAGGTGAAATCTCCTACGGCAAGATAAAGGGCTCCGTTTGGCTGTACTAGAGCTAAGAAATACCAGCATGTATCCAGACAGCAGAGATGAGAATAGGGAACAGCATCAAATCTTGCTAAAATCTGGTAGAGCTGCCTTTTCCACCATTCACTTTGCATCTCTTAAAATTGCAGTAATGCTCTAGGCAAGGTTACACAAGGTTATACAGCCAGACATTATTAAAATAGCAATATTAAAAAGTATTAAAATGGCAAGAAATGGCAACAGCATGGAGAAGGAATTGGCCACATGGCCTGTAAGAAAGAAGGAATTAACTTAGGAATATTTATTGCTATCTATTAGGGACAGAGAGCGATGCAGAAAACCAAAACCAAACAAAAGCCTTGTGGCACAGCCACTGAATGTCACTGTAAGCTTGAATGGATTTTCATGGCGGAAGTGGGAAGAAAGGGAGTACCGTTTGTACTGGGGATAGTGCTCTTAGATTGGTCATGCAGAGGTGTGAGATCATAATCCAGAGGCATTAAAATATTTCCAAGAAATAAAAGGAATTTAGAAATATAGTAGAAAAATACAAGAATAAGAACAGTTTAGAAAAAAGCTGTACAACTAGAGACTTTTATACCCTGAGAACTAAAACCCACCGGGGAATCCACCTCTTCGGTTAAATGGCATATTGCTTGTATGCGCCACATGAGGCCTCCTGTTTGAGAAGGCTGGAGGGCGGCAGGAATGGGCACCCATGCCATAAGCTGTGTTCGGTCCATGGGACCTTCTCTCATCTCGGAGTGGTTTTTCGGACTGAAGAACACTGTGGAAGGTAACATTGTGCTCGTATTGTTCCTTCATCTGTTGTATCTTTTGCCGAGGGACATGATGAATGTTTCTTCTGTAAAGTCAACATTAACAGAAGATACAAGTATTTAGCTGCCCGTGTGTTAGAGGTTATCTGAAGCTTGCTGCGGTTCCTGACACATTCAGGATAACGGTTCACATACCTGCTGATCTATTTCTAGCCCTTTTTTGGCAAACTGTTGTATGCTTCCACACACTTCTTGAAAGTATTATGTGACAAGTGAAAAAGCTGACACAAGTATTTTTGTGGGTAGCCAGGACATAAGAAGTTAGACAAATGCTTTGAAATGAGAGTGCCATGTAGAAGACCTCCATATTTTATAGTGTGTATATTATATACAGCGTGTATATAGTTTTGCTGGGGTTTAGCGCTAATGGCTGGGTGGCCTCAGCATGAGCTTTTGTACATCTGGAGAAATGCATGGAAGGGCTGTAGGTAGCCCAGGCACTGACTTAAAATCAAATTGTACAGGGGTCACAGTAATGTTGTTGCTTTGTCTGAGTGCAAGAGGGTTAAAATCATACCTGATGTGCCTCAGACTCCAGTGTAAATGACATGTTTGAGAGAGAGGGGAGCTCAAACATGCAGGACTTTCTGGATAGCCCAGAAACAGCTGCACTCTCTCAACACACTAGTAAGAACTGCTTTTTTCCAAAGACCACTAGGAATTTCTGCTTGTCTGTGAGTTTGCAAACTCTGAATATCTTTGGTATTGCCGTTTAGCTCTGAAAGGCACAATTTGTAATTAAGGCCTTGCAGCCTGCACCCAGTAAGCAGCACAAACTGCATTGCTGGTGAGGACGCAGTATGGGACCGCAGTGGAAGCAATCATAAGCTGTCCCTGAATCATTTGCCAAAGAGCTGCTCCAGACTGAGACTATCTGGGTTAGTGTCACGGTGCTGCTGTGAAAAAACAACTTGCTTCCTATCATTAATAAAACAAAAAAACAAGCTACCAAGTAGCTCAGCCTGTAATTAGTGATTACGAGTAAAATCTGCCTCTGCAGCAATGCTCTCCAACTGCTCCCAGCTGCTGCTGCTGGAGCAAGAGGTGCCACTTGCAGTTGAATGCTAACACTGTTACGTGCCCTCACCTGCCTTCAGCCACAAGCCATTGGCTGCCACCTGCCGTGTCCTGCCTCACCCTGGAGCCACAGGCACTGTGCAGGGCCACCACCCTCTGCCATTTATCACACACAAAAAGGAGCAGCACTAGTCATTGACCTGAGCTCGTAGCTGGTACAAACCGAGTAAATCAGGTGAAATGAAGTACCCGTGCCCTGTTTTCTTGCAGTAATAAGTAAATTAACATGTATTAGCTTCTGTATGCAGCAGATGGGAGTGCACTATTCACTCTAACGTACTTACGTCAGGTCAGTGAAAGGCTAGGAAATTAGCCTGCATGGATTTCTTTTTCAGTGATGTAACCATTAACCCTGCAGCCACAACAGCAGGACTAATGTACTTAGAGCCGTATTCGGCTCCCTCTGTATCACACCACGTCATGCAGCGCTGATACATTCATTGTATCCCTTCTGTGTGTGCGTGTGCATGTTAAGGTCTTCAGAAAGATCCTCTGGAGCTCCCTGTATTGCCCACACTTAAGCTCTATCCCACCATGCTACAGCACGACCATGTTTGTTACGGTTCCATTTTTTTAAGAACATGAGTGAGTGCTGTCTGTAGTGCTCAGACATCTTTTTGTGCCAAAAGAGAGCGAGTGCTGCTCAAAATACAGAGTGAAAACCAGGGTTCCTGCCCTGAGGAGGCTGCAGTATAAATACGCGCTTCAGGGGGTTGCTTTTTCTACTGTCTGGCTCACTTCACAGACAGGCATTTTCAGGGCTGAATTCGCTACAGACCAAGTGCTGAGTAAGAGACATTTTGCACAACAATCCCTCTGTTGTCATTTGCTAGGTTTCTTTTTGGCACGTATAAAGAGGAAGAGGGCTGACATTCCTCAGACCACATAAATAAAACGAGAAGCTGTCTGCTATATCAAAACTGTACCTTGTCAGTTCTTGAACATTGAACTTCCAGGGTGTATCTGGTTCTTGGAATATAACTTCATATCCGTTTTCACGTGCCTGAAGAAGGACACAGAAGTTTTAGAATCATGGCTGCCGAGCTCAGGAGTAGCCAATCTTCCACATCCCCCGAGATTTTATCTAGGAGCTGTACCATATGTATCAGGAGCCAGAAAGAGGGAGATAATGACCGTCATCAAGGTGCTGCTCTGAGACCCAGCTAGTTCATTTCCTTCCAGTCAAAGGGTTTGGGTCTCCTAGCAAAACTTGCCTCAGCCTTGCCCCAGTCCTTGTCCCCCACACCAATGGCATCCTGGCACTTGAACTCTCTGGAAGCCACCAGTGGTTCAAGAACTGCAGGTTGGCCATGCAGGCTGGAGCTTCTGGAGCATGGTCAGCATCTACCAGATGTGCTATTTCCAGCCACTCAATCTACAGGCCTCAGGTTTTTTCAAGGTAGAGCAACGTAGCATGTTGCTTCATATTTATGTACACACACACAAATATATGTATATATATATTTAATACAGGGTTTGATTGCTTTTGTCTTGATTTGGCAGAAAGGTGTCAGGGAAATCTGTTGACCTTTTTATACTTTGCCCACCTCTGGCTGTGCTCTCACGCGCTTCTGAGTCACCCACAAGCACTCACAGCTGCTGCTGAGGTGACGTGCCCAGGCTCTCCAGCACCACTAGAAATTCCTGCCTCTTTTGTGCTCCCATACAAGCAATACTTAGACCCAAATTTCTTAACTGACAAGACCAGAACCCAAGAATAGAAATGCGAGCAGACAGGCCACATTATAAAGCTGTACTAAAATATTGCCTTCTCTGACAGAACTCCTGACAAGAGATACCAACGCATCTTCAGAGGCTCTTTATGGTGTATTTTTTGCAAGTCATAAACTAAAATTGTAAGTCATATCTTGTTGTGTTTGTCAACAGAAAGGTTGGGAACTGTTTAATTCATGTCACTGCTGAGGAAGGGGATGACATCCTGAGTGCCAAGAAGAGGGCAGGTTCAAAAGACTTGATCTTTTCGAGTAATTTTGCCTTCACTGAGCTATATAGCTGACTAGAGAAAACAGCTACACTGGCACTTCTTCCCCTATTTCATCACAGTATCAATCCTTAACTATAATCAGAGAACTAAGGGAAAATGGAAGTAATTGTTCTTAGCCATGTTAAGAACCATTTCAGTCAGATCACCTCACAAATGTCAAAGCTGAGCATATAAAAGCAATAAATCAGAGCTTCCCCTACCATCATCACATACGGCTTCATTTCCCAAGCATGGATGTTGGTATTATCAATAATAACCGGGCTTTTCCCATTCTTCATTGCTTTGCGTGCTGTAATGTAACACATTAAATAAAGCTAAAATGTATTAAGTAACAGGCTGAGCCAGGACTCACTTACCACAGCATCCTATCTTTGCCCACCACTAACACCCCTGCTTCCCCACCATTTGGTGCAGCTGCCCCACCATTTGGAGCAGCAGTTGTGCCCCTCAGGTGCTCTCCTAGAGGAGATCCTGCAGCCAGGCTCTGCTGAGTGGTATGAGCTGAAGCTCTCATAGAACATACTTAGCAGTATCATAGCACTATGTATTTAAAACAGCTGAAAATGCCTGTTATTTGCTAAAGATCCCTGCTGCATGATCTGAAATGGCGTTTGCCATTGCTAGAATTTGTGTTCAGAGCACAGCCACAAAACCACGTTGCGTTCTTCTCACTGAAGTAAGTAGAGACCTGGATTGCTTCATTCTCAAACTTGTAATTAGGTTTGCAAGTTTTTCTTCTGGCTATCACTAATTCACCTCCTGCAACACCCCTTTCCAAGTCAGGACAGACATCTAAGAAGTTACAGCCCCAAGGCTGTGGTGCATACAGCTGTAGTGAGCTGGTTATCTGCAGCCCAGCTGCTGGTACCTAACAGTCACTGGTTTACTTATTAAAACAACATCTATCAATCAATCACCAACAATTTTATCATTTATAAGTCAGAAGAAATAAACTGAGAAGTGGTAAATGTATTTTCCTAATTAGTACCCCATGAACTGCAGTATGACACCACTTCCAGGTATTTTATTTGGGGGGCTAACTTTAAAGACAGACTGAAAAACAAAACTATTCTCTAAAACCTCTGCATCGAGTTCAGTCACCTCTCTTTTGGTTCCATTTGTGTGCATCCTCTAGGAAGTCAGGCTCAAACACATATACACCATTTTCAAGAAAGAAGTCATCAGTACTAAGAACTACAGCACTGGGATAGTCACGTTTCAGTTGTCTGAAACAAAAAAACAAGATGAAGGAAGGATTAGTATAGGCTGACACACAGCTTTCACAGAGCCCATCAGTAGCTCAAACACTTTATGAATGCTCTGCAGACACGCAGAGTGATTCATTTGTTAAATCCTAGCTTAAAGGATCTGACAGTAATGTCATCAGTAGGTGGACACATGGAAGGAAAAGAATGGAGCTTAAAGGTGTGGCCCTGATTTCTTTAATTCAGCAGAGAAATCTATACCAGACTCACAACATGCAAGTCTTTAGTCATATTAATATATTCAGTTTTCTTTCTGAGTTACCCAAGAAGGTTTGATTGTAAACACAAAAAACCCTAAACCAAACCTACTAATCCTATGGAAGTTGATCTCAAAACACAATTTGACAATAAGAGTTTTGCTATAGCAAAAAAATATCTCTCTATAGAGAGATTTCTGAAGATAACCAGGAGAAATGATCTGTCATTTACTAAAGATGGTCTGTATTGCCACTGTTATGGCTGGCTGGGATTTTTGGGTTTGGTTGGTTGGTTTCTTTTGGGGTTTGGTTTTTGGTTTTGTTTTTTTTTTTTGCAACGAAGCACATAACACTATTTATTTATTTATGTATTTAAATTTGCAAACTTGTATGTGAGTGATTAGTCAATATTTCTTACTATTTGTTGCAACTTTATGGTTTTTCCTGCTTTTCACTTGTCCCTGTTTTACTTAATCCTCCTCTTGTAGAGCTGAGTAACTTATTTATTTTCGGCATTTAAGCAGGTTTTATCAACAAGTCTGAGCTGTCTGGATTGGCAGCCCCAAATACAATACCAGGGTAACCCCTCTTCTCCTCGTACTGGTGTGCATCTCGCAGCGACGCTCATTCAGCCCTGGGATACCCAGCAAGGGCAGATGTGTGTCTTGCTGTAAGCTGACCAGCTGCCTCATGGACCATGACTGGCTTTAGGAGGTGGAAGTGATGGCTCATGTGCTGGTTTAATAAGAAGCATTCCTCTGCCAGTCCTTAGAAGGCACTAAAAAAAATAATCTTAGTGCAAAATTATGTCCCCATTTTTTGTGTAATTCAGATTCTTCAACGGAAAAAAAAAAAGTTTTCTGGGATGAAATCAGAGAGATTTTATCTGCATGAAATCAGGGAGAGCCCACAGCATAATCTCACTGCTTGCTGTCTTCCTAAGGCCCAAAATATCTCCAGAAAAGAAAGTAAAGGCCAACTGAGAAACCTTGTGGCTCTCCAACATGAATGCTGCTGCGCTGCTATCTCACACTACATGTGGTCTCCAGTCCCAGGGACTCATTTCAGCTTCCCTGATAAACTTCTTCTTTTCAATCCCCATAAGCTGCAAAACGACTATTTCACAACGTCATATCTAATTGAGCAACAGCAAGGGAAAAGGTGCCTCTACGTTATCAGCAAAAAACAGACACAGACAGAAAAGGCTTAATTCCAGCCCTGCCCCCACCATTTACTTGCCAATTTTACCCTAATCTGCCTGCCAGCAGCAGCTCTTCACCAGGATTGCACATCACATTTAGCCAAATAAAGGTCAGCTGCTGACTTCGTTCCACCTCCACTGTAACTTCTACCATCTGCTGAGTAATTAATACCATTTTGTGGTAGCAACCACAAGGCTCATGGCTGATGGGACTGTGGCTGTAGCTACTGTTACATATCATTTAGCACCCACATATTATCTTGTAGCTCCAAAGAGAGGTTCTACTCACATAATCACTGCTGGGCAACCAGATCTAACAAAAGTCATGTTGTAGAATGTCAGCAGTCAAATTATTTTTGCTGTAATTTTGGTCCTGGGCAAAGAATTCATGTCATGAAAAGCATGGGAGCACCTAACGCTCACCTGGTTACTCCTGTGCTGATGAACTGATGTGTTCAGCTCTCACTGCAGTTCAGCACCTCACCTTTCCCTCTGCTTTACCCATCTGCATCGCAACGTCTTCTCTAAAAACCTGGCTGTGCTAAAATGTGTGTTGGCCTTTAGCTACCAATAGGTGCATAGAATTGTACACATTCATAAAAGATCTCAAGGAAGTTTTCTCTTGCTCAGTGTTACCTTTAAACATGTTCTCAACCAGTGCAACTTTAAACACTTATTTTCTTAGCATACACCTTAATGAATTTTTAACACATATATACAGGATTGCGTGAGAACTTTGATATCAATCCTTAAGCAATCTAAATGGCACGCAATTATCTATAAACTCCATCTACTGTCCTCATATCACTGGTAATTAAAGCAGATAAAACTTGTGCTTCAAAGGAGAAAAAATAGGGCACAAAATGTGCTAACAGCTATGAACTACTGCCACATTTGCTATATTCATACCAAACAAACTCCTAGTAACAGCAACGTTAGAAAACATTGTGGGGAAAAGGTGGTTTACCTTCTGCTTATTTTGCTGGTTTTCACTTCTAGCTTTCTAAAACACCCAAACTGACGCTGACCACTTTCTCTAATCACCCATTGCCTGTGAAGGTTTTTCTGTCCTTCATGCTTTCACAGGGCCCCCAAACCTGTTTAGTATGCTCCTTCAGAAGTAAGCTTTCTACAACCTACACAGGCCCACAAGTGGGTTGAGAAGAAGGGGTTTACATAATCACATCAAGCTTCTAATCCCTGTATGGCAACAAATACACCTGCATTATAGCAAAATACACTCCAGCTGTGCAAAATGGGAGGATTCGTGCCCAGTTTATTAATTATTACATTGTGAGCAGCAGTGTAAAAAGAAAATTACCCACTGCCGTTAGATCCGTAAAGTGAAAAGCATACTAAGGAGGAAAAGCAAAATGAAATCTCTTTGCAAGATCAAAGGGTACATATGAGCTATGTTTGCATTTCTTAGAAAAAGCCATTGAACTCAAAGGGCTGTGCTGTGATAAGCAGGATCTGTCAAAGGCTCAGTATTACTTTGCCTACTTGGGACATTTAATTGCACAGCGTCACAGCTCTCTATCTATCTTGCAGTAAATACAAGGCAGGATATGCTCTGTATCTTCCTAAAGAAAAGTTTGCTGCTGTATCAGAAAATACAAAGGATAAGAGAAGATGGAGAGTCCCTTTTTACAAGGAGACACATGGAGAAGACGAGGGGTAACAGGCATAAGTTACTCCTGGAGAGATTCTGACCAGACACAAGAGGAAAAAATTTCACAATGGGAAAAATCAGCTATTGGAATAATCTCCCCAGGGGGGTGTTGGATTCCCCAACTTTGGGCACTTTTAAGATTCAGCTGGACAGAGCACTGGGACATCTAGTCTAGGTCATGCTTTGCCTTAAGAGGTTGGACCAGATGATCATTGAGGTCCCTTCCAAGCTGGTATTCTATGATTCTATACAGCTGTGTTTCTGTTTGACCAAAGCAGCACTGCCACAACTGCCTCAGTGAGCAGACTGGCTGCTTTAGTGTCTCCTGCGTTATTCAGCTGATGATCTGTTCCCATGCTTTATACCATTTTAAAGTCCCCTTTTTCTAAAGAGCATCTTCAAACAATCATTTCTGGTTTTAACTGTGTATGTAAACAAAAAAAAATTGTTCAGGATTTCAACTAGCTGGATGCATTAGAGTACTTGGGGGAAGTCTCCATGATCACTAGTAATACCATTGAAGAGGAAAAAAAAAGCCATAATAGTATTTCATAGGCTGTCAGAAAATTCGGAAATTAATTGATTTCTGATTTCTGGTAAGCAGATTGGAAGGAACATCTGCAGTGCTCAGAAGGCAACAGGATGCTTTGTTGGCTACATCTCTGAGCCAGTGAATTCTCAGTCTACTTCCAGTGTAACTGAGATCAAAACATATAGGTACTGACATCACATGCAACCATTCGCTCTGGTCACTTTTTCCAATGTAAAGCATTTCTGTGGCATTTGAAAGCCTTTAGTTTCAGCAGAAAATGAGAACTATGAGATCTGGAGCACTAGCACTAAAATACTGCTGTGTTTCAACAACAGTGCGGTGAGGACTTTGCCCTGCTCTGCCAACAGGCCTCTTGGCAGAGCACACCCACACGCTTGGGTGTCTCACCTATGGTGGGTAGAGCAGTGGATGTACTTTGCATGGAATCAGGCTGCGTGTCACATTGAGTAAATATATGCAGGAGAATCACCTGTTAATGTTTACATTGTGTTGCCTGGTGCTGCAGAGCTGAAGTCATAGATCACAGAATCATAGACTCATTTGGGTTGGAAGGGACCTTAAAACTCGTCCGGTTCCAACTGCCTGCCATGGGCAGGGACACCATCCTCCAAAGCCCTGTCCAACCTGGCCCTGAACACTGCCAGGGATGGGGCAGCCACAACTTCTCTGGACAACCTATTTTTTTGCTTTTGCAAATAAATAATCACCTTCCTCCTCCCCCAGCAGGATCTTGCACTGAGCTTTGCTGCGGTAGTTTTCTGCAAACATCACGTTGCTCAGCACGTTGTGTTTACCAACACCAACAGGTACACAACGCGGGAACAGCAAATCTCAGCATACTGGTGGCACAGTCCTTCCGGAATCCGAGCAGAGTTAATGGAGAGGATGGAGAGGTAATAAATGCCGTTTTTACAGCTGCCCTTTGACCTGTGGACTGCTGAGCAGCTAAATGCAATGATACCATTAATAGGGGCTAGAAACAGAGTAAGTTCCTCACATGTTCATTTCACAAGGGACTAAAACAATACTTACAGTGGGGTTCGTAGATCTGTCATTAATAATTAATCTTGTCTTTTGACTGAAAAACCCCTAGGTGAGTCAGTTATTTGCACTGCCTGAGCTTATGGCCCCAAACCATTATGCTCTGTACTAGGAGGACACCCAACCCCTCTGAAGGAGAAGAGTCTGCACTTACACAACCTCTTTAGGGAGAACATGTTTGGGTGCCAGTAACAACACTGCATTTGGCTGTTCATTAAAGAACTTGGTCTTGCCCAAGTCCTACGAGGCAGAAAGTGTGGTGTGACAGGAAGGGCTGTACTGGCAAGAGGAAACCGTAGATTAACCCAGTGTATCACACACCTTCCACAGCAGAGCCCTTCCTTCAGCAGCCCATGATCCCAGCATGTGTTCCGAGCAGATGAAGAAGACAGCAGATGTTCCTCTTTTGTTGGAGAGTGGGTGGGTGGCACCAGAAGCTGTGGGATACTGGACTGTGAGATCTTCTGGCACCAGCTTATGGCTATGCTGCATCACCCCCACTGGAACTGTTGGGGAGTGGACTGCCCTGAGTGCTTTATACACCTGGCTCTGACCAGGAGTGCTGGACACCATGAAAACAGAAGTCAGAGTTGTCAGTTTTCAGTCAGAGAGAGGAAGTGCTTTAATGTGTTTGTGATTAACCACAAAAAACCGAAACCAAGCGAACAAAACAAACAAAACTTACCAAGAACAAAAAAGCTATAGTCTGGCACTTAGAGAAGAAACAACCACCCCAGAGTGGGTGATTAGTCCACCTTATTATAAACACCCCTTCTGGTACCGCGCACTCCAAACAACAACATTCACCGTCCTACAAGGCAGCACATCCCCAAAGTGGTTACAGGCAGCTGGAAAAGAAAAGCTCTGAGCGGTTCCCGGAGGCAGAGGAGGTTTCCAAGCGGCTGTGCTTATTAGTCGGGGGTGCTGCGAGGCTCCCACCTCGCCCCTGAGCCAGAACCGGCTCTGAACAGGCGCCTCACCCGCCTGCCCGTGGTTTATGACGGTGTCTCCCGTTCTCCGCTCCAGGAGCGCTCCTCCCGGCACCGCACCGGG